TCAGATTGGCTTCTCAGGATGCTGCCAGGCTTGCCCAGACGTGATGAAGGTTGACTATACATACCTCTCGACGTTAGTAACTGGGTGGGACTGACCCTGTCTCTTATACACATCTAGATGTGTATAAGAGACAGGTGTGGGCTTCATCTCTACTCATCGTAACCAGACTACTCCCCTTCCTCTTCCTCCGCACCTTCATAGCAATGAAGGTCTTCTTCCTCGCCCTCTAAACTCCTCGACCAACCACGTGCTCCGCCTCATCTCCCTCTGGGTGGAGCAGTAGCATGATTGCTGGGTGAATGTTCAAGTAAAGTGACAGTCTCAATGATATATCTACTGCAGTCATGAGTCCAGTGGCCACACACCCTCCAGCCCGGCCACTACTACTCCCACCTGGGTTGCTTGCTACTAGGCTTACCAAGCTACCAGCCTTTCCTTCTGGCAGGAACATCATTGCAGACTGCAAACAACCCCCAGAGTTCCCAGACCCTATGTACTATACCTAAAATTGACCGAGGTTCAGCCTGGTACCACAATTACATCTGCTGTGAGCCTATGGGATATCGGCCACCTGTCCGTAACAGGCCTCTCCAATTTGCTGGACAACCTCTACCGGGTACCTGCTCCCCCAGAAAACTGCCAAATTTCATTCTTGTTCCTGTTTCTACCCTTATACAAAAATCTACCCTTCCCCGAGACACAAAACCACAGCACAAGCACAGAGCTAGTGCTCAGACACAGCAGTGGAGACATGTCAGGCAGGTATTCATTTGTTTACGAGAAAGCCATAACACTCGGACTCAGAAAACTCAGCAACACAGTTCAGAAGGAAATGATCTCTCAGAAAAAGAGAGTTATCAGGTGAAAGTTCCGTGAAACTGTGACCGACTGACCAATCACTTGACGGACCGACCGACCGACCGACCGACCGACCGACCGACCGGTCGGTAGACCGACCGACCGACCGACCGACCGACAGACAGACAGACAGACAGACAGACAGACAGACAGACAGACAGACAGACAGACAGACAGACAGACAGAC